CGCTAAAGTTTCGTGCCACCTGCCCTTGGGGATTATTCTTTCTCTCTCTAGAAGAGACTTGCTCCTAAGACTTAATCCCGACTCGTGGCCTTAATTGTCTAGCCTCATGCCAGGTTGATAAAAACCTTGAAATCCAATGCAAGCTTCTTCCATTACGTCTGAGGTGGATGTAGAGCTTCGATTCCCGCTAGGCACAAAGCATTCTGTGCTTTCCTGATTCTGTTTTTTAGGCGGCCTATACTGACCTCTGTATGTCGTACGACTGGGCTTGCTACCTCAACGACCACCTCACGATGTTGATGCCAAAAACACGTTGGGGGAACTTCAGCGGTCCCATCGCCGAATTCGCCAGTGACATCATCAATAATGAGGTATGCTTTTCGGGTGGTGTTCACAATAGACACGAATGAAAACACTGTGATGGAGCTGTCCGAAACTCGCCACAGCAGACTATCTGCAGAGTTTTGAAAGTAGAAACCGCTCCACGGACCTTAGTGCTATGGCTCTCTTCTTTTGACCTTTTGAGTCTTCGGTGGTACTCATACTGCACATTGTTGCGATACACATATACTATTAGATATCTAAAGCTTGTAGAGAGCCAAAGTGGCAAATGAATTTTATTACGCTGTCACGGTTTTCAAAAAAATGTGGAAGTAAAAAGGAATGAATGATGACTTCGATTTTGCGCGAACAAACGGCAGTGCTATTGTAAAATACGGTTGAGCCTGAAAAGCCTGTCTATATGTCCCATTTCAAAGTTTCTAATACAAATTATTATGAAATTCTCCAAGGGTGGCACAACTACCCAAAAAAAGGATAGAAAGGAGTTGTAGCTCTTGTAGCCTCCAATCCATTGCAGTCCGATTTGTAGGTGAATATCACGTACCCTATCGGATGGAGAGGATCAGAGCCCATCTACTTCGGAGCACTGGTAGGTCGACCACACCTGGTCGATCGTCAAGGTCATTTCGACCACGCGATTGCTCTTCGGCTCACGTACAACGTAAGACAGGAAAAGGTACGTGCACTGTTATTCGATGCATTTGGCGAGGAAGGGGCCATCAACTTTGTGGCAAATGTTTAGCTTCAACTGCATTCTGATACTCAAAACATCATGCACAAGAACCATGTATACCTATCGTGACCAGAACAGTATTCGAAACCTTATGCCTATCGAGGATAACAATAATAGCAAGAAACAATGGATTCATTCTGTGTGAAAAAAGGACTGATCAAGTAGAAAATAAGCAGTTTGAATTCTTGCTGTAAAACTGTCACAGGTGTTGACGGAGTATAAGTTACGTATATAATATGTGCGATTACGTGTGTGAGGATAGAAATGTGAAGTGGTCCCTTCGAACTGATTTCCACCAGACTTGATATTTTCTGAGGGTTGATTTACAATTCGGGACCTGCAATCACGGATTTCTTTTTCTCCAGTGCATGTATGAGGTCGAGTTGTTTGTATTGCTGTGCGAAGCTGTAATTGACAGTCCTTTGTATGCACTGCCTCCTAACTATACACTTAAAGGCACAACCCAGGCAGAGGTCGTGTGAACGCTTCCCTTCGGTCTGTAGTATAGACCCCTAGAGGACAATCACAAATGTGGCGTTCCGTGCACGAAGAGCGCTTGGGCCTTGCAAAGTAAGCTGCTGAAGCTGCAGATTTTTTCTCTTATCAGGCTGTTGTCTGGCGCTCTCTCATCTGTAGCGCTCTCTCGCCTCATACTCTCCTCTCCGCGCTTAGTCTCTCATTCCCTTAGCACAGCCGATTAGGAAGGTGAGTGAGCCCTTAACCTAAGCGTTTTCGACGGATTCTTTTCCTTTTTTTACTGCCGGCCCATTTCGCACCAATACATTCGCATTCGTGTGCAAGAGCCACACCAATGTGATCCTGGGGCATGTAGATGCTGCCAATCTTTACGAGAAATGACTGGGTAATTTCAGTAGAAATATGAATTATTCTCAACAATGTGGGTGAATATGATACTACGTCATGAAAGCAACAGATAACTTACCACCAGACAACTTTACCTAATTAATTTTTTCTTATTTTGACGTTCCAAGTTTTCTGGGATCGATCTTAGGGAGCTGCACTTTGTTCGCAACCTTTCTTTTCCTCTGTTTAGTTGTCCCTCCCTGATGCGAGCAAGCCCACAAACATAAAGTGTTTCAGGGTGGGCAACATCAGTTACATTTGGAGGAAAAAAGTCGCCGCATGGTTAACCGACAAAGCTCGACCCCCTTCAGGTAAGATACTGCCTACCACGGATTACCAAGCTAAAACGGCGGTTCGTTGACTACTCACAACAGTTCCATTCAAGAGCTAGTCGAGTTTGGGGTCACGCACAACGAATCGCTACCAGAGGGTCTGCAAGATGTAGCCGACACTTTGACGCCAAAATTTGTCGGTAAGTTTAAAATCTCTGGGCTATGTGCTATCGACGGTGTCCAACTTACCCTTTTCAGGAACATGCACGATTCTATTCACTTTTATGCTTCAAAACTGAGATCAGGGACTTTAGCTTAAATCATGGAAATGGTTTGATCGGCATCGACTGGGTACGCAGCAAGCCAATAGTGGCATGTGCAGGTATATTTTGCCAACTGCCAGAAGTCACATCCTCCTGTTCCCAACTGTTGCGGGTAGAAACGAGTATGCACCTCTCGTTCCTGAAGGGTGCGTGGGCGTTTTGCAGGAGGAAGAAGCAGCCGAATACTTCATTCTGTTGCAGAAAATATTTCGCTTATACCCTTCCACACAATCTGCCGCTGCGCCTCCTATAAGCTGTCCACTTCGCCTCCATTTCCGCGACCTCACCACAAACATCACTATCCCTAACTCAGCTAATTCACTCTTCTGAAAACAGGGACCACGTGGCATAGTATGCTATGACCTGTAGATAAGGATGGGAAAATTTGCAAGAATCATAAATTTCCGTATTATGGAAATTTTAAGACGCTTTTGAGATTGCCTACCTTCAGAATCAGAGCCCAAAAAAAATTTAAAGACGATTTTGCACACAATGGTCCGACGTCGCATGTTAAATTCAGACACAAAGAGGTCAGCTGTAGAAAAAAAACGTGAAAGAACCTGAGCAGCCTGAAGGCACGTAAGACCCCCTTCCACGTTGATTATGGCGTCGATCCCCACGATGCGGACCTGTTAGCATGAAAAGCTGCGCTCTGCCTCTTGGCTAAAACTGCCAGAGGTCGACGAGAGTGGGTAGCCGAGCCGTCTGCGCACGTGGACCGATGCGAATAGGCCCTGTTGGGCTCTAGCCTCAATAGAACACGCCTCGTACTGCTTCCTCAGGGCCAAGCTTTATAACAAATATTTTCTGTTCTTCAGTCTCCACTGAATAACTTCCCTCAAATAAATGCTACGAATTTCTAGGTCTTTGGTGCCCTCTGCTAGCTGTAATCTCGTCTTTCGGCTTGCTGCTATGGTGCGGCGAACTCTATAACGCTATCGTTAATGTGTCACCGTTCCTCATACTCTGTGAGTTCCATTCTTTTGATCATTACTACATTTTGTCATCTCTATAAGCGAGAAATCATGAGCACAAATCTAGGAAATCAATGAATATCCTGGTGTGTGGTAGAAGCCAGTTTTGTGAGTCCGGCGTAGGGATTAATATTACCTAGTGAGGTTCGGTCTGAAAAGTTCAAGTGGTTGTGATAACTTTTGATTGAACCTCTCGATCTACTGCTTTCTGAATCTGCTGCGCGGTTGTTATCCCATTTTGGACCTCATTTTCAAAGAAAAAATACCCCAGAGCAAATTCATTTTTGAAAAGCTTTTGCGATATAACGTTTTGACGTCCAACGACTACGCTTCACGCTTTACCTCTATAAGATATGCCCTCTCAGATAGACTGCAGGAGAAACCTCTGGGCCGCAGATGTGTCGGCAGCCGACACGCCCACTCTTCCGTGATTGGCTACCACCACACGGGTTATTTTTTGCAGACGCGAGCCAGCCACTCATAGACTAGTAGGCGCCCACCGTCCGTGATTGGCTACCACCACACGGGTTACTGTTTGCAGACGCGAGCCAGCCAGTCATAGACTAGTGGGCGTGCCGGCAGCATATGCTGACGACACGCCCACTCGACCGTGATTGGCTACCACCACACGGGTTATCTTTGCAGACAGGGTGAATAACGGTCGAGGAATTTCCTCGACCATAGCTCTCTACCATGCGAGAGTAGTGCCGAGAGTGAACATCCGCGCGGAGAGCACAGACGGCACGCGCATGGCGAGTGTGAATGTCCGCGCGAGAGATCGTCTCTGATCGGGCAGAGAATCCTCGACGTGCCGTTGAGGAATCCTCAAGCGATATTCACCCTGTTGCGGACGCGAGCGAGTCTGTCATAGACTAGCGGGCGTGGCGGCAGCATATGCTGCCGACACAGCTGCGGTCCGTAATTCGGCGATTTCTCCTGCAATTCTATCTCAGCTAGAGCTGCAACTGCTCATCCGTAGATTTTAGAAAATATTCAAGCCAATGGCGACCCATATGGTGGCCCAGCTAATAGTCATCTACAAATCGGCCATTGCAATTTCTCGGATACTTTGGTTTTAACGAAATAATTAGGGAAGCGCATATGATTATGAAGGACAGTATCCACTGGAAGATCACACATTTCTTATTTTAGAGAAGATTTTCCTGAACCATACGAATTGTAGATATTCCTATTTTTCTTCTAATTTGCATATACAAGTGAATAAGAACGGTAAAATAAATAAGCGCAGAGCTCAGTGGATGCCAACATATGTTTTTTCTTTGGAATAAGTGAGGAAAGAATGCTCACTGCAGGAGAAACGATTAACTTCGCCTTTTCATTGCCATTTATTCCAAATTTTCCTGTAACTACTTCTAACAACCTTGACAACTTGACAACTTTGACTTTGTGCTTTTCATGCTTCTGTTCATTTTTTTACTCAAAATCCAAGGAGGTTAAGTGAGGCAATGACGTCGCAAAACGCAACCGAAAAGCCGAAACTGGTACTATTGCGATTGTGTTAAATGATTCCCTACTGATATCTTGAGCCAGGTATTGGCATCGACGATCTCTTCGTTATGTCGGCAGAATGGCATCGAACGAACCCAGACCATTCACCCGCCCGTCGAATTGCCGATACTCTTTCTGAAGCTGCAGTTGCTATCACAATAACGTCGATAACTGATATGGTGAGCTGAAATTTGTGATGCTTATCAAAACTCAGCTGCAATTGGCAGATGATACGATAACCAGGTCGTAGTCGGAAATGGAAAGTAGAGATACAAAGTGATCAATGGATGCTGAAGGAGAAGTTACGGTTGAAGGAGAAACTACGGAAAAACCTAAGTCTCGCAAAATAGGACCTATTTTTGCTTGTTGAGTTCAGCGCTCGACGAGTTTCTTCGATAAAGGC